ATCAGTCGCTTTTTCAGTTCCATTAGCTTTGAGTTTATTTGTTTGTTTTTGCAGCAGATGTCCAAAGATTGATGTACTGTTCTTGTTTCTTTGCTGTAATTCGGTTTGGTCCAGATGGCCAGTACTGTGGTTCTGTCTCTCACTGTAGTCTCCTCCTCTCCCCTGTGCCTCAGTCTCTCCCCCATCAGCCACCAGATGTCAATCAAAAATTGACCTTTATTTGATTAATGCCTCATTTCAGGATCCTCATCACGTCCCCGCTTCGCTCCCACCCGGTCACTAAAGGTGAATTCTTTTCAAAAGACCTTAGCCATTGCATCTACATTTCAAATCAGCAACTGTACGGCTGTGCAGAGATGTGATTGGCCTACATCGCAAACGATGTCAAGCCCGCTAGATCAAAAGACCTTTAAAGCCTTGTTTATGAAGAGCTACCTGACATTCTCAATTTTACCCGCAGTGGCTCTGTCCCATCAGCTGCAGTGGATAACGACTGATCAAACAATAGCTGTGGGGCCAATGCAATGTCATTCTCTGTCCATATCCCCATGTGTGTTAGCATGTATGCTTGATACGCTCAATTAGCGTGAAATTCATGTTAAAAGTGACACCCTGGTTTGATGTCTCAACTTAACAAGGACACTTAGATGAGATCAGTGTGCGCAGTAAATAAGATTAGCACTCAGAAACACAGGCAGTTCATAATCCTAGTGTGAGCTGGTTATGAAAGCTATAAAACAATGCAGATGTCTGTGTGAGGATGGAGACATTATTCAGCAATGGCCAAGTGAAGTGCAGGCGTGCATGCACTAACATGTAATAGTTTGGGGCCACTTGGTGTCTCTGCGATTGCTGAGCAAAATAATGTGGCCCACGACCTCCCAGCAGCTTCCTATCCTCCATTAGGCCTACCAGAAGCCTGAAGCGATAACAAGATTAGCATAAGCACTTTTAGTAAGTCACTGTGAATAGGATCCTTAAAGAGGCTTAAACTGTCCCCCCTTCACCAGCAGCTGATACATAGTGGGGAGCTGACTGGCACATCTGCTTGGCTGCTCCACTGTTCTCTTAGTGATCTCTAATCAATGAGAGATCCATCACTGGTGACGCTCAGCGCACAGACAGAAAGCAAATCACTTCTATAAGTGATAGCAGCTATCAGGCAAATGGGCAGAAAATGGTTCCTAATGGTGCCTGGTGTGTCTGGTGTAAACTGCAACCAGCCTCTTTGTCGTCCATCACCCCGAAGCATATGTAACTGAGAGAGGGGAGGCGGCAGGAGAGGAGAGGAAGAGGAGGGAGCATCTGTTCATTCAGCGTGGGAACCCCTCAGGGGGGCAGCACGATAATCTGGGTTCGCGTCAAACCAAATCTGGTGCCTGTGTTGCGGGATGATGCTGTGTCACTTAGTAAGTCTGCGTGTCAAACAGTGGAAGTCACTCAGTCAGCACCCCTGGTGTGTGACCTTCACTCAACCGACTCCTCCGCTTCCTAATGGGATCTCAAAAATGCTCACTCAGTTTCTGTCTCGGCTTTGTCAAAATCCTGTTGGTAATTGAAGCATAGTTGACTCAAAGGCTGAGGTCATAAAAAATGAATGTGTCCAACCCTTCGCCAAAACCCCTTAAACCGGCAAAGTCAGGCGCTGGGAAACACTGCTCCAGAGAGGAGTGAAGTAGTTTTTTCAGTGTGACCAATTAACTTCACAACAGAACACTTGGCAGCATTAGTTATCTGCTTTAGTCATGAGTTTGACTAGACAGTAACAGTTGGTGCTGAGTAAACAAGGAAGTCTTTAGTTTAGATTTGACCATTTCAATTATCTTCCCCTCTTGCCCAGACTGTTGTTTTCCCAGAAACAGTGATCACATTCACTATTAATGAGCCATGATGTTCATCCTGGACCCATTTACTCCTCTCAATAATGCATACTCTTTGGAATTGCCTGTGCATATTTTACACTGTGCCACCCCCCCACCCACCCCCAGCCCCCCCCCAAAACCCCCCGTGCGGTGCTCCCCCCCTAACGATATCAGTGGTGTTTTGGTTGCATTCGCTATCTGGCCCCGGGCTCTCTCTACATGTACACCCAGGGATAATGCTTGCCAGGGAAACAATGTCTCATGTCGTGTGTGAGTCTGACTAAGACTGCTTGCTGTGCGGAGATAATGAAACACAGAGTATGGAGAGCAAAAGGTGCTAACACACTTGTTGAAGGACCTCAGTCGTCTTCGATAAAGCATTCCTATTACTCGCCTCTAAGCGTGATTCTAATAGGCTCTTCAGTCTGTTTAAATAGGCCCAACGATCTCTTTAAATAAGAAAATTGACCACAAATTGGACACATCAATGCCCCAATTTGATTTTCCCCACATCATGATTGTCATTAAAAGCCAGCAATTGTGGTATCGGAGACCATGTTGGTTTAAGTGCTCCGTAAAGGGACTTGTCCTGTCAGAACCAACTGAAACTCACACAAAGGAATGAAAAACCCATTAGCAGTGACAGCAGAAAATGAATTTAATCAGCAGAACATTGACGCTACCATTGAGGAGAGCGGAGGAAAGGTTCATCGAAATGCTTCTGGCGATCACTCTGACCCTGGTGGCGTCTGAGCAGCATATCAAATCAGCCCAGACTGAGGAGAGGTTGGCCAGTCAGTGTGTAGAAGCCAGGTCAGGCTCCGAAAGACTGGCAGGTCTGGTGCTCAAGTGGGACAGTGGGTTGTTGGGTGGTTGGTGGTGGGGGGTGGAGGGCGCATGGTGAAACTCTTGCAGTTGGGAGGAGTGAGTCAGCATGATGCAAGACAGTAAACCAGAGAGGAGGGAGGGAGGCGGGGGGTCAGACAATGGTGAGGGAAGGAGGAAACACATCATGTGGGTTTGGAAAACGGGTCAGGCTCGTGCAGTGTTGTGAAGGGGAGCGTGCGGTTCTGATCTGGCCGCAGGGCTCACTCCGCTCTGCTCGTTGCCGGACCCCCAGCAGAAGTCTCACCCACACTCCCACCTCCCCCTCCCGCCTCCCCACCCCCCCCTACCCACCCCCACCCCCTGCGACTCCCTTGTAAGGTCACTCAATACCGAAGAGCCAGAGGCTGCCTGGCTGCCTTACAAAGGATGCTCTTTTCTGTGTCTCCTGCACTCCTCGTTCTGTTTCACTCGACATTCTCTCTTACTCTCAGCTCCCTGCGCCCTCTTCCTCTCGTCTCGCTTTCTCTCTTCTCTGAGCTGTCTCGCTTTCTTCTCTGCACCTCTCGCTCCCTCTTTATTTCTTCATCCTCACCCCTGCCTCTCTGCCTCCCACCCTCCTCAGCGTATTTGTTTCACAAAACCTTCCATCTACTCCCTCTCTGCTTCGCCTCCTCTCCTCCCCTCATTCTCTGTCTCTCTCTCTCCAGAAATGCATCTATTATTAACATACACCTCTGGCTCTCGACAAAGACTAAACCAAGGTTCAGACCCAGCTCCTCAGCATTTTAATCACCCATAATGAGCAGGAAATAATGAATAAAAGTGCTTGAATCTAGCCTGTTTGGGTGACAGCAATTAATTTATGAATACTGTATGTGCAGCTCATCTTAACAGGTTTTCCCTGCATAATGTTGTATTTCTACCCAATATGCTGTATCCCCTGAGGTAGTATGCTGTGAGAAGCATGTATATAAAAATCAATCTGGCAGCATCTGACCACCAAAACACAGAGTCAAACACTGAATCAGGCCTCTTTTTCCAGCAGATAATGCATATCATGTGAGTCCTGCTATTAGGGAGACATTACTGTAACTGTAGAATTAGCCGTGCATGGGTTCCCACTGCGGAGATTGGGTTTAAGCTCTCCTGCTGCATGTTTCTGCAGTGGCTGCCGTCCGAGGGCAAAGGCACGGTGCTATCAGGCGAGCGTGGAGATGCACAGGCGAGAAGCGTCCCCGGTGACTAGCATGGCCTCTTTTCATCATCTGCTTCCAAACACCAGGACTAAGGGCAGGGATCTGTCAGAGGTCCGCCGCTCGCTCAGAAAGGGGAGTTATGTTGCTGCAAGACTACTGAAACCCAAAATTCATTACCACTTTGACTGGTGGAGCATGTTGAACTAAGGGATGCAGCAATTGTTTTGCTCTATAACAACTTCACAGAGAGGGCCTCCACTGCTACTGATGCTTCAGACAGTGGGAACAGTCGGGGGAATTCACCAGACAGACTGAAAATAAGATAAATCTGTATGTCCCTTTTATCACTGGTTTATTTATACTGGTAAACATCAAACAGAAACAACAGCAAAATCAAGAGCTGGCATCCACCCATAGATGTGATTATCGTTTCTCTTACATAGACAAGTTAATTTACAATGGTTGTCACCAGTGTGACATGATAACGTCAGTAAGTAAAAAATATGGAAATGAACCATTCCTCTGGATCTCATCCACACGTAATATCAGATTACTTCCCGCACCTGTCACGCTGTTGGTGTTGATTCAATTGTCGCTCAAATCAGTCATGACAGGAATCCTATCAGAGTCGAGTCTTTATGTAATTATGTGATAAAAATGTATCGATTCAAACCAGAGGGCAGTATAGGCTGAGTCGACTTGTGCCACAAATATGCTGCATTGTGCTGTGTCTGGGAGTGTGAGGTGCTGAAAAGATGGAGCGCTGTCTGTCTACTACATTCTGTTCCAACCCCTCTGGGATGTAAAGCACATTCGTAATCTCTCCAAACCACCGCCAAGGTAATTAAGACATGTCACCATCTGTCTGTAGAGCTGGAGACAAGAATCATGTTCAAAGTCTACAGAGATTGTATCACTTTAAGTAACAGGCAATGAGACTGCGAGTATAATAACCCTACCCACTGCATGTGTCTTTCTTTGTTATAATACAGTATGTCCAGGTTACTGCATTCAACACCACATGAACACTTATGGTTGTGTTGAGATATACAGTATCTCACACAACTAAACATTTTTGTACATGAAGTTGTTTTATACATTGTTGTGCCTTTCATCAAAGTTTGATCAAACGTTGTTATAAAGAAGACTTTGATAGGTTATAAGGTAGAAAACAAATGTGAAACGTTTCCTACAACCCTGTATGCCTGCCTTGCCCTCAAATATATGAGAGAAGCTCACAGGTCCCTCAGTAGAGAGCACAGAAGTTCAAAACAAGGCATAAAATCCATGTCTGTTCCACAACAGGCCACGAATCCAATCCAAGAAAACAGGAGAATGCAGGTCATAAATTCCGAATCATAAAGTGCTCTCCAGAAGCCACTCGGACCTGGAGAGCTTGTCTCTGGCCCGGTGAATGTTTGTTGTGCTCTCGAGCTGGGGCAGCTCTCCGCTCATCGACAGGCTGCGTTTGGAGCGCAGACTGGCCCCAGTTTTGGGGTAAGCCACATAGCAGCGCTCTGTATATGAGTCTACGTTAAGGGAGTGCCTGCGGTTCACCCTCACTCCCCCTGCAGGCACAGTCATGTAATGTCGGGGGGCCTGGTGGGGTCGTGGACCCCTGGGAACAGCAGTCCATTTGGTGGGCTGGCCGGGAACAGCCAGAGTGACGGCGGTGGCCATTTTAACCTCCGATGAGTTATTGCGGTTCATGTTATCGAGCTCGACATCTGTCTGAGCTTCAGCTCGGCGAGACTCTGAGGGTTTTGGTGGAGCACTGGAACGTTTGGGCCTCGGAGCACCTGGTGAGGCCGGGTGCCAGCTGTGGCTGGCAGCAGAGGTAGAGACAGTGCAGTCAGGGACAGAGGGTTTGGTGGTGGCTACAACAACTGGTGGTCGCTGCTTGGCTGGCTCCGGGGGCGGCAGGGAAACTCTGAGGCTGTCCTTGTCATTCTTTTCTGGACGTAGACCCTGTTTGGAGACGGACTTGGGAATCCCACAGCCCTGTAGCTGCCCATCACTGCTCAGTGACCGAATATCCCCCATCTCCAGAGCCTAACATGACCGGAAACAAGCATAAGAAGAGAGAAAGGGATTAAACACTTCTGTTTCAATATCAACAAAGATAATGTACAGGAAAAGAACAAACAGAAGGAATCATTTCAAACTGACCTTATCTGCATCTCCTTGGTTACACACCCGGTAGCGCACAATGAGGAAGATAATAAAAGCAAGAACTGAGGCCACGATAATGCCTCCAATGATAACCACAATGGTGCCGCCAAGAAACTGGGACTGCATGAAATGGCATCTCAGGTATTGCGGCTCTGTGGTAAAGTGAATACAGCCTATCACCCTGGTGGCGGTCAGCGAGGTCACCTGGTCATCGTAGATGGCCAGAACACACAGGTCATAGTGCGTACCAGCCGCCAGGTTGTTCACCAGGATGTTCTTACTGGTTGGGGGTATCATTCTGTAGAAAGAAAAAAAAAGCTTTGTGAGTTGTGACATAGATGAGAGAGGGTTAAATGAAAGGAGACAGAAGCAAATCAGATTATCCAGCTTATTGTTTTGTGGGGATAAAAAGACATGACAATGGTTTATCTCTCAGGGGGCTATTTAAGATCTGACAAGGCATAATCTTTTGTGATATTTGATTTATTCTCAAAGCATTATTGCTGATAAAAGGTTGCTTTCAGTGGCTGGGGATGCAGGATGCCTCTGTTTGTTCACAACATCAGGATTACAGACTCAACTCCCTCATGTCTTCTGAATTTGGTAGCCGCTGCCGACCATCATATCTGCTGTTGACTTCGAAGTTCATTTGGAAAAAAAGGGGTCTGCGCGATGATCCTATCACATCACAGTGATTAGCACTAAATATGGAGTGAAGAGGGTAGAGATGAAAGAGTGCTGTGTAATGTCGGTTTCTCAAATCACAGGCATGTGTGAAGCCTCTGATTCTTTTGTAAGACACTGGCTTGACTACTCTTTCATCTTCCTATCAGTCTGCAGCTTACTGCTGACATTCTGTTTTGATTTTGTTGATTAAGCATTATCAAGGTTTTGCACGTAGTAAGTGGTGGGGGGGGGTTATGAGTCGCAGAATGAGAAGTCAGATACAGTGCATTAGTCTGTCTTCCTGATAGGATTAATAGACACCACAAATAATCATGTCGACAGCCAGGTCCAGTTCTTAATGACTAAATATCCAAAGGGATTTAAGCATTCAAAGAAAACTATGAAGGTAAAACAAGGGTCAGGGGATTGGAATATGACTCCAATCATCTTATGTTTATTTGCATACTGTGCATTCAGGTACAAATATAAAGTTTGTTTACTGGATTAAATTGCATTACTTGCCCAGTATCCACTTCAAGTAATACCTGCTTACCTATATACCAGTGAATCATCATACGTCCCATTATATTGGATCTGAAACATGCGGATTCCAGGAATACTCCTCTGGAAGTTAAACTTGACCAGGGCCGAGGTGGACGTGGCCTCAGCGATTACTACTTTCTTATCCGGGCTCGTCTTGGCGTTCCCCAGGGGCACCCCTCCCGTCTCTGCCCCTGTCTTGGTCACTGTGGCGATATCTGATGATCCTGGGTCAGGCTCCTGCTCTGAAACTGAGTTGTTGGTGATATGAGGGAGCTTAGCGATGACCAGATCCACTGTCTGCTGGGCCTCGCCAGCCGGGTTGGAGGCCACACAGGTGAAAGAGCCTGGAGCACAAACCAATTCGATTAGCGTTCTCCCTGATATTTGCTATGTTCATGCACAAGCATTGAATAAAATAAAGAATAAAAATATATCTCATTATAGTTAATCATATGAAAGGGAATATTTTGGAAAAATTGCTGAGAGTTAGCCTGAAATTGACTGCCAGGTTGTCTGTGTTAATTTGCTCTAAAATGCTAATGGACCTGCTAATACACTAGCTGCATGCTAGGACACACCAACCCTGTCTGAGGTAGTGTCTCTGTGTGTGTATTCTTGTGTTCACCTTAGCCTGTGACTGAACTCAGAACTCACCAGAAACTCCAGTTCTTTCTGTTATCTCCCTCCAGTTTCTCACCTTTTTCTCTTTAATCTCGATGTGTTTATGAATCATATTCATACAGCCTGGGGTGAGCACAAATTTGAACTCAAAAAGAAATATTTTCAACTTGCACAGACATATCTTCGCATCAATTTACACTACCCTGAGAGAAGTCTAAATGTGTCTTTCCATTGACTTTGTATGCATTTGCTACGCTTCCAAATTTGTTATCTTATCTTAGCATAAAGATCAGAAAGAGAGGGAATCAGCTAGCCTGACTTTGTCCAGAAGTAACAAACTCTGCCTACCAGCATCTAATTAATCTCTAATCAACATGTTAATGACCATGCAGTTCAAATTTGTTTAATTCATACAAAAAAACTGAGGTGCTGGAGCCATCTACATATTCTAACTGCAGACATGAAAATGAAATCGACCTCATCTTGAAAAGAAAGCAAGAAAGTATTTTTCCTGAAATGTATTTTTTTCATGGTGGATTTTCTGTCAAGGATAACCATGAACTATGATTTAACCACTAAATCACAAAGCGATGTCATCAAGGTGAAAAAGTCACTTTTCATTTCCTTGTGATTTTAATCAGCGTGTGAGCCATCATTCTTGCTCACTCTAAACTTTATCACCTGGTGCAGACAAATACTTCACTTCTATAGGCTTCTGCATACACAAGCAAACAACTAATTTTGTTCAGTCAACAACACAAGCACAGCCACCAGGGGTGTAAACAGACCGGAGTCCTTGACAGTGCTGATGAGGATGTCCAACGTGCCGTCTGTGTGGACTGTGGCCCTGGAGGAGTTGGACATAAGGCGTCCGTCAGGGGCGATCCAGTGGATAATGGGGTCGGGGTCGCCCTTGGCCTTACAACGCAGAGTCACACTCTGACCCTCCAAAGCTCGCAGCTCCTGAGGCAGAGGGAGGCAACACAGTTAGCGGGAGGATTTCAACATATGTTAAACACACACACACACACACACACACACACACACACCACACACACACACACACACACACACACACACACACACTGATTAGATAATGCACTACATCCTAGACTGAAAAAGAGCTTGGACCAACCGTAATCCTTTGTGCTTTACCCAGACTTTCTACATAACTGACATATTATAATTAATGCCTTTATTGATGATGTGTTCTTGGAGTTAGCATGATTATGAAGGCAGGATTATCAATATGACAGTACATTGCAATATGTATGAGTCCAAGTCCAAGATAATTTTATTTGCAATTATGCATACTCATTCTGCTGAATGTAAATGAGATGATATAGCTGTAGTTATTTGGCAAGGATTTGATCAGATAATTTTGTTTGGATGCATGACTCAAGAGCTAAATCACTGTACGCTTTCCCTGTGTATTAGAGCTTCTCCACGGATCCATCATAAACCTGCAAATAGCTATATTAAAATGATGAAAATCCTGCTAAAGAACTTCTCTAAAAAACTCTCCACAGGTCACAGTTTGATTACATTTTCTGAGTAAGTCCTAGATATTTTACAATACTCAGTTAGCTGTGTGGTCCAGATGAGTCCCACAAGTCTTGTAAGACTCCGCTGGCTTGTAAAGCTAATATTTAGTGTGACAGTAAAAGAAAGCACAAAGTGCCACCTTGGATTAACTGAGGCGGAATCCAATGTCTGGCTCTGGGAGTGTAACAGTAGCGAGTGTTATGTCTTAACAGTGTACAGTTCAATTGAGGGGTTATACCTGAGAGTGCCTTGTGATGACAGGAGGCTCACAAAGAAACTCTTCCTCTGAAACAGTCCAGAAATAGCGTCCAGCTAGGTGTTGTGGTGAAGCACAGGTCTCCAGATCGTCCTCCCTCCGTAACCTCCGCAGCCAGAGCAGCTCACAGTTACACCTCAGAGGGTTCCCTCCGAAGCTCAATGCGAACGACGAAGGTCCCATTATCCCAGAGGTGGCTAGGACTCCTGCTCTTTGGAAAATAGGGTCAGGAGGAAGCTTCTGTAGCTTGTTGGAGGTCACATCCAGCCTTTTGAGCTTCTGCAGCCCAGAGAAGGTGCCCTCTGGGATGTAGCTGAGCATGTTGTGGTCCAAATTGAGAGTGTGGAGATTGGACATCCTCTGAATGGCCACCCATGGGGCGCTTTCCAAGTTGTTGTAGGATAAGTCCAGCTCTTCCAGCGCTGTGAGGTCGTTGAAGGCCCCAATGTGGATGTGGGTGAGCTGGTTGTTGTTGAGGATGAGGTGGTGCAGCTTGGACATGCCACTGAAGGTATCATTGGTGATGCGGGTTAGCCGGTTGCTGTCGAGGTGCAGAGCCCGTAGGTTCTCTAGGTCTTTGAAGGCATGAGGCGCAATTGTACCGATAGTGTTCCGAGAGAGGGTCAGGTCTACCAGCTTTGTCATGTTAGCAAAGTCTTTGCGTTTGATGCTGGTTACAAAGTTATCCCCAAGACGCATCTCCACCGTGTGCCTGTCGATGTTTGGGGGCACAAACAGCAGCCCCTTTTTGTCACACAAAGTCGCCAGGTTGGGGTTGAGCATCTGACAGACACAGCGTTTGGGGCAGATTTGAACTTTGTGGGCCTTCACAGCCACACCGAGAACTATCAGATAAACCAGGAGAGACTCCATTTGGCTTTTCAGTCAGGTTAAAACACCTAAAAACGATCAAAGGAAAGAGAGAGAGAGAAAGAGAGGGGGGAAACTATTTATAAAACAGTTGAAGAAAGCATGGCATCTGTGATTGTAATTTGTATCATCTTTATCATCTCTAATTTCTGTAGCTGGGTAATCACATATGCTCTGAAAAAATCCCTCTTTAAAGAGGGAACTGAGGGATTCTGCTCCAGAAAGTTGAAGCTTTTCTACTAGATTTGAAACACTGCTACTACTGCCAGCAAACAGCGAAGATTTACAGAGTCCAAATTCCGAGCAGGAAGCTAAGCGACTCAATGCCCAAACAAACAATAAATGCTGTGCAATTAGACATGAAACTAATTAGTCACCTGCAGACTTGAGAATGAAACATCCTCAGTAATCTTGTATGATTTTTGTGGCAGCTCTCCTTTTTAGCCCCTGCTCCCCTGCCCATACTTTTTTTTTTGATATGATAATGCCAGTCCTTTTATGTTTGTGTACAGAGTGATGAAAGTCTAGACTGGCAGTCGAGGGCCTCATCAGAATTAGACTGATATCTCCCAGGATCATATCGCCAATAGGAAGGGATGATTGGGCCCAGTGCCTCAGTGAGGATGCGCTATGCCTTGCTATTGATTTTCTCTCTGCTCTCTCTGCTTCTACTCTTACTTATGACACAACTGAGATGGGGGATAAGGAGGGATCCATTTGATGAATCCTGAGACCTTGTCAGGGATATAACATGTCATAAAACTAAGAAAGTGAAGATCAGATCACAGCTATGCAGGTACACCGCACAATGTCCCAGGGCGAGAGTGACATTAGCTGTGATTATATTTAGCACTGAAATTTAGTGTCATTTTGGTTTGAACATGCAATATTCAGCCCTCTGGGTGTCCCATTACAGCATATAGAAAGGAATACCAATCCAATCAAACACGGAGAGCAAGAGATCCAATCCCACAACTGTAGTAAAAATCCAAAGGCTAACCTTTAAATACAAGAGAATGGCTGATTTATGATTATAGCTTTCTGTGGTTTGCTGGTAATGCCTCCATTGTCGATGTTGGGTCTTGGAGAGTGTGCATAAAAATCCTCCCTCAGCAAAGAGCCTGCCAGCTGAGTACCTTCATGCTTCAAAAGCTTCTGTTGCACTGGAGCTGTGACACACAACTCACGGTGTAATAACCTTGACAGTCGGAGTATGAGGAAAATATCACAGACTAAAGAAAACATCAGACTGGACGGGACTGACATGCTGCCATGTGGGGGCATGTTTCTAACATGAGAAGGGGAGTGAAGGGAGCCTCGTGGCATCCGCTGACAACAGTTGCATTTTGACAGGTGGGTAAAACATATAATAAGCCCGACAAGAAGGCAAGAAAGAGGTCGTTTAAAATACTGGAGGAATGGGAGCAATGGGAGGAAAGATATTATTGCAGGGAGCATGCTGGGTGTGACATTTTCATGCATACTGCTGATCATGCAGCAATGAATCAATGTCCTTTTCAGCCCATTTTTACAAGGTACAACTTTACCAAGTTGCAGAAGAGGCTCATTTAGCGGAATATAGTTATAATCTGAGTTGCAGTGGTGCAGAGATATGAGCTGGTGAGAAATGAACTGTGGCATCATTATTAAATGTTGCCATGGCTTTCGTTTAAGATGGCAGATGACATCAGTGTCAAGCAGTGCTGCAAAGCTATGTGTGATGGTTTTCAAGTACCTATGTGGAAAGTTTCATATCTACTTCTATGTGTGTGTGTGTGTGTGTGTGTGTGTGTGTATGTGTGTGTGTGTGTGTGTGTGTGTGTGTGTGTGTGTGTGTGTGTGTGTGTGTGTGTGTGTGTGTGTGCGTATCAGAGGATAGTCTACAAAAGCTGAGGTGTAAGCAAGTGGGTTCATGTTGGTGTGCCAACCACCTTCTGCTCTGACTCTGAGTGGCACGGCCTCTGGATGTGCAATGAGGCAGAGAGGACCTGCTACTTCCAGACTCGAATGGCGCTGAAGACGTGATATTGATTCACTCTGTGGAGATGGGGCTTTTTTCACTGCTGAAAACTCAGTCAAACGTGAAGAGAATGGTTGCAATGGTAATCCCTACAAAATTTGTTCTGTGAGGACAAAAGGACAGCCCCTCGCTGCTGAGACGGGGCAGGAAATATCTCTTGCTGACTTCCTAATTTGCATTTAATTATGGGTGTTCCACAGAGATTTGCATAACAGGTTGCACTCATCAGGTACATGAACAAATAAGTAGATAATCAATCAATGCATTCATCAATCACGTACTTCATCTTTAAATGTCACACCCCCAGAAAATCATTATCCTCCAGGTTGGGTTGTTCATTATGGTGAGACGACTTGGGAGGGCCACAAATAAACAAGAAAACAGATAATCTACTCATGCATTAACTGTAATCTCCCCCTTAGTCAATCAAATGTTGGTTTACTACCTCTGAGCAGGTCTTTTTGCCCTCAGAGAACAGAACAGACTGACAGCACACGCCCACACACACACACCAGTGGGTGGATTTGTGCATAATAGAGGTAGCTCACTACACAACAACCCCCAGCTATGGAGACAGACATTCATGCACAGCAGCAGCATTATACTGTAGGAGAGGATATCTATGGTCTCCCTGGGGCAGCATTTGCCAAGAAAAGCTTTATGCAGCATACTGCATGCCAATCGGCCGGTGAGGTCATGGGGAATATGTTTTCAGATGGTCTAACTTATGCTGGAGCTCGTGTGAGAAAGCTTCTACAATCCACGTCTGGCCAGGGAATGAGGGAGAGCAGCCCTGCGAGAGGAAGTTAATGAGATGAAGTCTGCTCGGTATGTCTCCGCGCAGGTCGACATGATGGCACATGGCAGCATCTCGGCAGCGTCTCACCTGGGTTACTCAGGGAAAGGCAGCCAGGCATGTGCTACTGCCAAAAATAAGCTCTGTTGTGTCAAGGAGGTAAACTGACGCTGCAACATGATGGTAAAACGGTATCGACAAAGCAGTGAAATAGGTCCTGCTTTATGAGACCAAATGGAGCTGCAGCATCTACTGAAGTGGATCATATTTTCACTGAGGTGGTAGAAATTCTATTTCACCAGGTAAATGCTCGTGTAGCCTGAGTCCAAACATCCTGACCAAATATTGATGCTGTTATGGACCGTCTAACTAACACATCTGTGTTTGTGAATGTGGGCATGTGCTGTGACACCCTTTCCCTACAGAGTCTGCCAATGTTAGAATGCGATAGCTCTTGGGTGACAGCCTTGATGCCATGGCAACACAGAAAACGTCAGTTTTTGGTGAGATGTAATCAGTGGCTCATTTTCAAATCACCTAATAATATTTAGAACAAAGAGTCTTCTCTACAGGAAAGGGCCTCAGCAAGCGAGTTGTGGTTGAAGGCCACAGCAGACTCATTGTACCATTTATGACACAGTAGTGGTGGGAAGAAAGGAGACTGTACACTCAGCTAATTTTGTGTTGGATCCAGTGTTTGGAGTGACTGAATCATTACCCTTTTTCCAGAGTGGTGCGTAATAAAAACCTAAGTGACTTGATGGAGAACTCTGATGTAGTTGAAATTATTTTTCAGACAAGCTTGTGTGTGCATGTGTGTGTGTGTGTGTGTGTGTGTGTGTGTGTGTGTGTGTGTGTATGTGTGTGTGCATGTGTGCCAGGGGAATAGCATACTAAGCAGACACCACTGCATCAATAGAAGTGCTGTTCATCAGCATTTACAACTCCCCCTTGTAATTCCAAGTGTTTTCCTTCGCACAGTATCACAAGAAATTCAGAGCTATGCTGGATATCTCATGACTGGAGCGCTAGCCCAACAAACAAACAAAAAATAAAAACAGGAAACTCTCTTCATTCTTAGAGGCTGCTGTTCTTTTCCTGAAGCAGGAGAGAAATTTAAATGCTGATCACTGACTATGGCTCTTAATTCTTGAACCGTGGTGACGAGTCCTGATGTGAGGAGCTTATGACCTGGGATTTTCTTCTGGAAAGATGAATGCAGAATCCTTGAACATCACCTCTGAATATCAATACAGCCTCTTCAAACGAATATTCTCCACAGTATGGGCCCGCAGGTCTGTAGATTTTCAAATCTGCCAATTGCCAAGTTCAATTTCAGGTACAGGAAGTGTAAGAAAAAGCAAAATCCCTGCCTCTCTTTGTGATAATACTATGCCTCTATTACAAGGGCCTTTTTCATGTTACTGTCTGAATGAGGGGAAGCAAGGACAGCCAAAATGAAATTCATGATCAGGGTACCTATTGGCTCACTTTCCCGCTTTCAAAGACTCTCATGTTTTCTACCTCGCACAGCAAGAAAATAGCTAAATAATGTATAATCTTCTCTTCCCTCACTGTGTTGTGTCATCAAAAAGCAGCTCTCTAACAGTAGGTGCTCACATTCACACATGTGGACCAGGTGTGTGTGTGTGTGTGTGTGTATGTGTGTGTGTGTGTGTGTGTGTGTGTGTGTGTGTGTGTGTGTGTGTGTGTGTGTGTGTGTGTGTGTGTGTAAGTTTGCAAATGTTAAATAATCTCAGTGTTTCAAATCTTGACGTAAACACTTCTTCATCTTATTTTGTGGTGAATAGAAATTTGGGTCAGTGAATGTGGAGCTCGTCTGAAGAACTGCCTCGGTGCTGAGGAGCCACATATCACTCCTCTGCTATCAGTGAAAGGTAGCAGCATATAAGCTACATCACTGAGGGCATAACATAGCAGTAAGAGCATAGAAGCAGCAAAATGAGGCGTGAGCCTGATTTCACTGGTGTAGCAGTTACAATGGTGCCTCAGGCACTCATGCATAATAAGATATGTGATAACTAACACTCCACATAAGACAAGACCATTATAAGTCATCCTTTATACAAATCACTAGGACCACATATTCACCTGTCTTCATCAGTCACCTGGCAACATGTCCCTCTGCCCACACACTTATAACATTATCACTTGTGTTACTTAGGC